AATACTTTTGTAAGCTTTACTTTAATTAATTTGAATTTCAGTAGGTGTTTTTTAATATTTTGGGTTTGAATAAAAGTGAAGCAAAGTAAAAAGTAAAGTGTTATTTAATCAACAGACAAATTTCTACCAGTTGTTGTGTTTATTCAGTCTCTTTTTTGTTGTATTTTTTATAAGAAAACACTAAGTTTTAATTAATGAAGACCAGTCACAGCGTAAACATGTTTGAATAAAAACCTTTTAACTTGACTTTTCCTCCTGACACTTTCACTTTTGTGCCTGGATTTCATTGCGTCCAGTTTTAATCTTTTTTTCCTAGAGCGCCCCCTACCTGTTCTCACTGATAGAAACTTCTGCAACAAACAGACACTTTTTGTTTTTCTGAAAACATTTTTGTGTCCACAGTGACTGGACCTTTGTCAGAACTTCAGATCGCCTATGTGTCCCGAGAGACGCTACAGGTACGACTCACACTCACCTTAACTACAGTCAGATTGATTGATTTATTTATTATTTATTTATTTCCTTATTTAATTATTTATATATTTATTTACTTATTTATTTATTTGTTATTATTTTTAATTTATTGTTATTTATTTATATGTTTATTTTATTTATTTTTATTATTTTGTATTTTTAGTTTTTTTTTTTATTTTATTTATTGATATTTTTATTTTATTTTATTTATTTATTTACTTACTTATTTATATATTTATTTATTTACTTATTTATTTATGTGTATTTTTATTTTATTGTTATTTATTGATATGTTTATTTATTAATTTACTTATTTATTAATTTATTTTGATTTATTTTTTTATTTATTGCTCATGCTTTTAAATTATTATTTTTTTCCTCAGTTTAAAGGTGCACTGTGTAACTTTTCTGGTTGAGATGGAGATGATGTCATTAAACATTTCTTTCTTAATAATCCAACGAGTCCAAAGAGTTTTATTTTCAGACGTGACACTTTGTTCTTCTGAAAAAAAAGAACCTAAGAACAAAAATGATCACAGAACCAAATGAACCTTGTTGGACTTTTACAGTTTTACTTTACATTTATTCAGTCACAGATGGTTTTATGCCTCAAAAATTCTGTGAGCGGAGTCGCCTCTCCACAGATCTGACCTGGAACTCGCTCTGGTTTGGTCTCCGTGACGACAGAAAGGTTTTAATGTGGTTTTAATGTTGAAATATTCCAGACTAAGCAGAAAATTTACACAGTGACTCACCTGGAAACACACGACAGGCGTTCACTCTGAAACCTTTTTGTTGATTTTTCGTGTTGTGCAGTTTTTTTTTGTTTTTTGGAGAAACTTCGGCCCAAACTTCCGAGCTGTAGCTGAATCTAAAACAAAACAAATAATTGATATAAATACGTTTGTTTGGAGTCTCAGTGATGTTTAGTGAGCTCTGACCGTGTGTTTGTGTGCAGGGTTTGGGATATCTGCACACGAAAGGAAAGATGCACCGAGACATTAAGGTAAGATTTTCTCTGTTTTACACGACTTCCACACACAGACTCTTTATATAAACAGACAAAAGTAAACCTCTCGCCTCTGAGTTTCAAACAGAGTGAGCACAGACACACTTCTGGCTCCATCGACTCTGGATCAATCTGTGTGTCGTTCATTCATTTGTTTTTCAATATAAAACCAAAAAAAAAAACAGTATAAAACAGTTTTCTTCATTATTTGTCTCCAAAACCATAATGAAAAAACAGATGATTTGTTTTTTCAGTTTTCGATTTTGTGTTTAAATGAAAAATGGAAAAAAACAGATAACGACCGTTTCCTGTTTACGTGACTTCAGTGACTGAGATGTTGGACTGAACCGGGACCAGACCGGGACCAGACCGGGACCAGACCGGGACCAGACCGGGACCAGAGTGGACTCAGAGCTTTGACTCTGAGTCTCAGCTTCGAGCTCTGACCCTGCAGTGGACTCTGAGCCTCCGGTCTGGTCCCGGTCTGGTCCCGGACTGGTCCCAGTCTCAATACCGGTCTCAGTCCTGCTCTGGTCTTGGTCTGGTCCCGGTCTCAGTCCCGGTCTCAGTTCCGCTCTGGTCTCGGTCTCGTCTCGGTCTCAGTCCCGCTCTGGTCTCGGTCTGGTCCCGGTCTCAGTCCCAGTCTCAGTCCCGCTCTGGTCTCGGTCTCAGTCCTGGTCTCAGTCCCGCTCTGGTCTCGGTCTCAGTCCTGGTCCTCAGTCCCGATCTGGTCCAGGTCTGGTCTCGGTCTCAGTCCCGGTCTCAGTCCCACTCTCAGTCTAGCTCTGGTCCCGGTCTGGTTCCGGTCTGGTCCCGGACCTGGATCAGTCCTGGTTCAGTCCGACATCTCAGTCACTAAAGTCACGTAAACAGGAAACTGCCTTTATTTATTTTTTCCATTTTTCATTTGAACACAAAATCAAAAACTGAAAAAACAAATCTTTATCTGTTTTTTTTTATTTGGTTTTGGAGACAAATAATGAAGAAAACTGTTGTTTTTTTGTTTTCTTATTTTTGGTTTTATATTCAAAAACTAATGAACGAACGACACACAGATTTGGATCTATTGAGCTTTTCCACGGTTTAGGTTTGTGGAACTTCAGGTGAATGTTTTGTGTCTTAAAAACATGTTCTTCTTGGTGTTCTTCTTCGTCTTGTTATTTGTGTTCTTCTTCGTGTTCTTCTTGGTGTTCTTCTTGGTGTTCTTCTTCGTCTTCTTCTGCGTTTCAAATCGAGTGAATAATCGTGGTCGTGATGTGACTGAAGCTCAGGTGGAGACGTCTTTGGGTTTATGGGGCGAATAGCAGAAATACTCCAGATGTGTTTTGTTTCCGAGGCCTCGCGCAGCAGCCGTGAGAGAAATCTGGCTCTCGTTTGGCAGCCGACCGTGTGTGCGACCTCCTGACCTTTTCAGGAAGTGACGCGGCTCAAACTAAACACACCGAGTCCGTTTGTGAGACTGAAGAGAAAAAAGAGACGCAGAGAGAGAGAGACACGAGCAGAACTTTCAGGGTCTGGACTCAAGATTTAAACCAAGAACTAAGACTAATGTGGGTTTTACTGGACATGTTAACAGACCAGGACTGAACCAGGACTGAACCAGGACTGAACCAGGACTGAACCAGGACTGAACCAGGTTTAAAGAAAGACTGAACCAAGACAGAACCAGACTTAAACCCGGTCTAATCTGGTCTTGTGAGTCCGTCTTGTTTCGTGTTGTTTCTCGTGTCGTGTGTGTGTTTGTTAGAGTTTGAGTTAGAGTTTATTTGAGGTCTTTGTTGTCGTTGATGTGGTCGTGGAGGTGTGAGGTGCACAGTACCGTGGGCGTGGTCTGAGCGCGCTCTGTGGCCTCTGTTTCGGTGTCAGGGTTCTCACAGACGTCACGGTTCAACTATTATCAGTTTAAACCTTCACTTCCTGTTTCCTCTTCCTCCCCACAAATGTACAAATCTACAAATGTACAAATGTACAAATCTACAAATATACAAATGTACAAATCTACAAATGTACAAATGTACAAATGTACAAATGTGCAAATGTGCAAATGTACAAATACAAGAAACTGTCAACACCGTCCAACGCAGATTCAAGATTTATACTACTAGTACTACTACTGCTACTACTGCTACTACTGCTACTATTAGTACTACTACTATTAATAGTACTGCTGCTGCTACTACTGCTACTACTACTACTACTGCTATTACAACTATTACTACAACTAGTACTACTAGTACTACTAACCCAAAACCTGCTCCAGGTCCATGAACAGTTGATGGTTAAAGGTCAGTTAAATACAATCAATTCAATCATTGTGTCCTTAGGCAAGACACTTCACCCACATTTCCTAGTATGAAAGTGTGTGTGTGTGTGTGTGTGTGTGTGTGTGTGTGTGTGTGTGTGTGTGTGAGTGTGAGTGTGTGTGGTGGTCGGAGGGACCGATGGCGCCGAGTGGCATGGCAGCTGCGCTTCTGTCAGTCTGCCCCAGGGCAGCTGTGGCTACAACAGTAGTTTACATCAGCAGGTGTAGAGTGAATGAATAATGCTGAATAATGTTCTGTAAAATGTCTGTGAAAGCGCTGTATAAATAAAGACTTACTTACTTACTTACTACTAGTACTACTACTGCTATTACAACTATTACTACTACTACTACTACTACTACTAGTACTACTACTAGTACTGCTACTACTAGTACTGCTAGTAGCCAGTGTGTTGCCGATAAAACAGTATTTTTGAAGGTCTGAGGGTATAAAGTTATTTCATTTAGATTATTTTTTTTTTTTTCACTTTTTTTTACAAATCAGTTCTTCAGTTAATTTTTTGATTTATTTGAAGGTTAATAAAGTGAATAATAAAAACTCCTTGTCACTTTGAGCGTCTCTCAAAACCGAAATGTTTACTTTTTTTGTACTAAACCAATTTGAAATAGAAAACTCTGAATATGATTTAAATTGTGTTATTTTGGTCGAACTAATGACATTATTTTTCTGTGTTGTATTTTTTCAGGGGGCGAATATTCTCCTCACAGACAACGGGGACGTGAAGCTCGGTGAGTTCTGTCGTTTCAGCACAAAAACTCTGTGATCATTCAAATAAAAAGACAAAATGAGTTGTTGAAAATTGTAGTCGTATTTTTCAGCTGATTTTGGAGTCGCTGCTAAAATCACGGCCACGATCGCCAAAAGAAAATCCTTCATCGGAACGCCGTACTGGTAAGACGAGCTTTTATTTACGTAAACTTCAAATAAGTGTGTCGTTATGATGTGAGTCAGTGTGTTTCATCCCGTTACGATGCGAGTCATTGTGTTTTCTGAGTGTTACGATGTGAGTGAGTGTGTTTTCTGCCGTTACGATGTGAGTCAGTTTGTTTTCTGCCCGTTATGATGTGAGCGAGTGTGTTTTCTGCCCATTACGATGGGAGTGAGTGTGTTTTCTGCCCGTTATGATGTGAGTAAGTCAGTTTTCATCCCGTTACAATGCGAGTGAATGTGTTATCTGCCCATTACGATGCACGTCAGTGTGTTTTCTGTCGTTACGATGTGAGTCAGTGTGTCTTCTGCTCGTTACGATGCGAGCCAGTGTGTTTTAACCCGTTACGATGTGAGGGAGTGTGTTTTCTGCCGTTACGATGGGAGTCATTGTGTTTTCTTCCATTACGATGTGAGCGAGTGTGTTTTCATTCCGTTACGATGCGAGTCATTGTGTTTTCTGAGTGTTACGATGTGAGCGAGTGTGTTTCCTGCCGTTATGATGTGAGCCAGTGTGTTTTCTGCTGTTACGATGTAAGTCAGTGTGTTTTAACCCGTTACGATGCGAGTCAGTGTGTTTTCTGCCGTTACGATGTGAGTCAGTGTGTTTTAACCCATTACGATGTGAGTGAGTGTGTTTTCTTCCGTTACGATGCGAGTCAGTGTGTTTTCTGCCAGTTACGATGTGAGTGTGTGTGTTTTCTTCCGTTACGATGCGAGTCAGTGTGTTTTCTGCCAGTTACGATGTGAGTGTGTTTTCATCCCGTTATGATGCGAGTGTATTTTCATCCCGTTACGATGTGAGTCAGTGTGTTTTCTGTATGTTAAGATGTGAGTGTGTGTGTCTTCTGTGCGTTAGGATGTGAGTCGGTGTGTTTTCTGTATGTTACGATGTGAGTCAGTGTGTTTTCTGTATGTTAAGATGTGAGTGTGTGTGTCTTCTGTGCGTTACGATGTGAGTCGGTGTGTTTTCTGTATGTTACGATGTGAGTCAGTGTGTTTTCTGTATGTTACGATGTGAGTCAGTGTGTTTTCTGTGCGTTACGATGTGAGTCAGTGTGTTTTCTGCCGTTACGATGTGAGTCAGTGTGTTTTCTGCCGTTACAATGTGAGTCCGTGTGTTTTCTGTCCGTTACGATGTGAGTCAGTGTGTTTTCTGTCCGTTACGATGTGAGTCGGTGTGTTTTCTGTCCGTTACGATGTGAGTCAGTGTGTTTTCTTCTGCGTTACGATGTGAGTCGGTGTGTTTTCTGTCCGTTACGATGTGAGTCGGTGTGTTTTCTGTGCGTTACGATGTGAGTCAGTGTGTTTTCTGTCCGTTACGATGTGAGTCAGTGTGTTTTCTGTGCGTTACGATGTGAGTCCGTGTGTTTTCTGTCGTCAGGATGGCCCCTGAAGTGGCGGCGGTGGAGAAAAACGGCGGGTATAACCAGCTGTGCGACATCTGGGCCGTGGGCATCACCGCCATCGAACTGGCCGAGCTCCAGCCGCCCATGTTCGACCTGCATCCCATGAGGTACGAGTCCATTAAAGCTGCACTGCGGCACTTTTCCCTCTCATCTAATGGACCATAATGGTGTTATGGTGTTGCCTGGAATGTTCCACATTAAACTCACATTTCATTCATTTCTTCAATTACTGCCATTTTACTGAGAGCAGGATTGCCTCTCCACAGACATGACCTGGAACTTTCTAATTGCATCCTTAGGTCCAGTTTAGTCCAGGTTTAGTCCCTGGTTCAGTTCTGGTTTAGTTCTGATTTAGTCCTGGTTTAGTCCTGGTTTAGTCCTGGATTAGTCCTGGATTATTCCTGGTTTAGTTCTGGTTTAGTCCTGGTTCAGTCCTTTTTTAGCTCTGGTTTAGTTCCTAGTTTAGTTCCTGGTTCAGTCCTGGTTTAGTCTTTGTTTAGTCCTGGTTTATTTTTTGTTTTGTCCCTGGTTTAGTCCCTGGTTCAGTTCTGGTTCAGTCCTACTTTATTACCGATCTAGTCCTTTTTTAGGTCTGATTTAGTCCTGGTTTAGTCCTGTGTCAGTCCTGGTTTAGTCTCGGTTTAGTCCTGGTTTAGTCCTTGGTTTAGTTCTGGTTTAGTCCTGATTCAGTCTGTATTTAGCTGTAATTAAAGCTCAGTTTAGTCCTGGTTTAGTCCTGGTTTAGTTCTTCTTTTGCCCTTTTTTAATCCTCTTCTATTTCTGTTAAAATCTTGAGTTCTTTTATCTTATCTTTCTTTTCAGTTTTGTCTTTTTTTTTTTGGAGTTTGAGTCTTTTTCCTTGTTCTTGTCCTTTTTCTTCCGTCGTCCTTCTTCACTTCATTAAAAACCAAAATCTTTACTGTTTTATTTATTTTTGTGTTAATTCTAGACCAAAACTTGACCCTGTTTCTCTTTTATTCTTTTCTTTTTTGATGGTTGTGGGTTGTTTTTTTCCGCAGAGCTTTGTTCCTGATGTCCAAGAGCAACTTCCAGCCTCCCAAACTAAAAGACAAAAACAAATGGTGAGCGTTTCGTTTGTTTGACTTTTCTCCACGTTTCCGTCTCGTTTTACAGATCCGGCTTCGTTTGTAATCGTCGAGTTTTAAACAGATTCTCTTCTGCTCAGGTCGGCCGCCTTCCACAGCTTTGTCAAAATTTCTCTGACCAAGAATCCGAAGAAGAGGCCCACGGCGGAGAAACTTTTATCGGTAAAAAAACAACAACTTCGGTTTATAAAAAATATTCAGAACGGAACAAAAGAAATGTGTTTAAAGATCAAATGTTTTTAAACGGCAGAAAACAAACTGAAGTTTAATATCCAACACTTAATAAAGGCGCACTGTGGAACTTTACGGTTTTGTAGACCCAGTTTTAGACCTGGAATAGTCTCAGTTTTAGACCTGGAATAGTCCCAGTTTTAGACCTGGAATAGTCTCAGTTTTAGACCTGGAATAGTCTGTTTTAGACCTGGAATAGTCCCAGTTTTAGACCTGGAATAGTCTCAGTTTTAGACCTGGAATAGTCTCAGTTTTAGACCTGGAATAGTCTCAGTTTTAGACCTGGAATAGTCTCAGTTTTAGACCTGGAATAGTCTCAGTTTTAGACCTGTTCTAGTTCCAGTTTTAGACCTAGGATAGTCCCAGTTTTAGACCTGGAATAGTCTCAGTTTTAGACCTGGAATAGTCCCAGTTTTAGACCTGGAATAGTCCCAGTTTTAGACCTGGAATAGTCTCAGTTTTAGACCTGGAATAGTCCCAGTTTTAGACCTGGAATAGTCCCAGTTTTAGACCTGGAATAGTCTCAGTTTTAGACCTGGAATAGTCTCAGTTTTAGACCTGGAATAGTCTCAGTTTTAGACCTGGAATAGTCCTAGTTTTAAACCTTAGATCTAGTTTTAGACCTGGATTAGTCCAGTTTTAGACCTGTTCTAGTTCCAGTTTTAGACCTAGGATAGTCCCAGTTTTAGACCTGGAATAGTCTCAGTTTTAGACCTGTTCTAGTTCCAGTTTTAGACCTGGAATAGTCCCAGTTTTAGACCTGGATTAGTCCCAGTTTTAGACCTGTTCTAGTCCCAGTTTTAGACCTGGATTAGTCCCAGTTTTAGACCTGGATTAGTCCCAGTTTTAGACCTGCAATAGTCCCAGTTTTAGACCTGGATTAGTCCCAGTTTTAGACCTGGAATAGTCCCAGTTTTAGACCTGGAATAGTCCCAGTTTTAGACCTGGAATAGTCCCAGTTTTAGACCTGGAATAGTCCTGATTTTCTCATGTATCTTGGTGTTTTTTCCAGCACGTGTTCGTGGCTCAGACCGGTCTGACCCGGAGACTCGCCGTCGACCTTTTGGATAAAATGAACAACCCAGAAAATCACCAGCCGTACGGAGAAGTGGACGACGACGATCTGGAGGTAAAGAAGGCAGAAAGAGGGAAAAAGAGGGAAAAGAAAAAGGACAAACGGAGGGTAGAAAGGGAAAAAGGGAGGACAGAAAGAGGGTAGAAAAGGGGCAAAAGGAAGGCAGAAAGATGGTAAGAGAAAAAGGACTAAAGGAGGGTAGAAAGAGGGAAAAAGAAGGCAAAAGGAGGGTAGAAAGAGAAAAATGGAGGGCAGAAAGAAGGTAAAAAGAGGACAGAAACAGGACAGAAAAAGGGGAAAACGAGGGCAGAAAGCGGGCAAGAGGAGGGCAAAAGGAGGATAGAAAGAGGGCAGAAATATGGTAAGAGAAAAAGGACAAAAGGAGGGCAGAAACCCTGAGGTGTGTCAGAGCAGTGGCTGCAGGAGCGCACACACACACACACACACACACACACACACACACAGAGACTCCTGGAAGGACCATAAAATAATGAAGGTTTATGATGATGATGACACAAAGTGATGATCAAATCTAAACTCAGACTTTACTGATCCACAGGGAAATGACTCACACCACACGTTTTATTACAAATAACAGAGTAAAACATAAAAACATAAATAAAACATGTAAATAAATAATCCAGGTCGAGTTTTTCCTCTGATCACTTCACATGTAAAACACTGACACAGATGAACGGGCTTCATGTTCAGCTTCACGTCAGGTTTGTTTCAGAGCTGTTTTTAGTCTCTGTGGTCGTTATAATTCTCCGAGAGCCTGTGGTTGAAGAAGAAGAAGAAGAGGAGGAGGAGGAGGAGGAGGAGGAAGAGGAGGAGGAGGTGGTACCAGTCCAGTTTACTGCCCTTTGTGTGACTGTGAACAGCTCTGGCTCTGTCTCAGCTCTGAACAACTCTGACTGTGGAAACTCTGCGGGAATAATAATGAAACACAAACACAACACAAGAGGACACAACACAACGCAACACCAGCACACACAACACAAAACAACACAAAAAACAAGAGAACACAACAGAACAGAACACAAAAAACAACAGAACAGAACACAAAAAACAACAGAACAGAACACAAAAAACAACAGAACAGAACACAAAAAACAACAGAACACAAGAGGCTGGAGGATTTGGAGAACTCAACAAAACTAAATGGGTTAAAGTTGAATAAATGAAACAGAAAAATGTGACTCTGTGATTTGATCAAAAGGATCGAATCACAAACGTGCAAATACACGAGGTCAAAATGATGGACTGTGTACAAATAATAATAATAACTGTGCAAAAGATAAGAAATGTTTTTTTTTGAGCTTTAGTTAATTTATAAAAGGAAAAAAGAGACACTACAGCAACGTCTAGATGAAGAAAACCGAGATGTTTTCTCAGTTTTCCAGGATTTAAGAGAATAAAACCAGATTCAACTCATGATCAAATTAGACCTAAACCAAGACTAAACCAGGAGTAAATCGAGACTAAGCCAGGTCTAAGCCAGGTCTAAGCCAGGTCTAAGCCAGGTCTAAACCAGGTCTAAACCAGGACACTACTAGGTCTAAACCAGGACTAAATTGAGACTAAATCAGTTCTAAACAAGGACTAAACCAGGACTATACTAGGTCAACAACAGGACTAAACCAGGACTAAACCAGGACTAAACCAGGACTAAACCAGGATTAAACCAGGATTAAACCAGGTCTAAACCAGGTCTAACCAGGTCTAAACCAGGTCTAAACCAGGTCTAAACCAGGTATAAATAGACAAAATATAAATGGAAAAAATAAAGAATAATAACAATAACATCTAGATGAAGAAAACCGGGACATTTTCCATGGTGAGTTCCTGTTGTTGTCGTCCGCGTGTTTCCAAACGTCTGACGGTTTTGTGATGTGGACAGAGTCACTTTATATTTAAAGTGTGGCTCTTCTCTCTGTCAGTGTAGCTCTGAGCCTCGTCATTTTATTACCGCAGGCCTCGATGAGCTTCATTTGACTGAATGCTGTGGTTCCCGGCGATCGTTGACTCTCCCTTCGCCCTGGACGTGTCTCATCGGGTGTTAAACGACTTTGCCAAACCACTTTTTGTCTCTAAATCTTTGTTTTGTTTTTGTTTTTTCAGCCGATCGCCGTCAGACACACCATCAAGTCCAGCAAGAAACAGAACAAAGCCGAGCGGACGTCGTCAGAAGTCGACTGTGAGTGACACACAAACACACGATCACACACAGAATGAACAAGATTTATCCTCCTGTTACAGACGACATCTTTAGGACTTTCTCCACCTCAAAACACAGAATATTTTATTTATTTATTACAAAATGACAAAATATACAGTAAAATATTAAACCTAATTTAATCGTAGTAGACATTTTGCAACAAAACAAAACTAAACATAAACTCCAGCCCATGGATCAGGACGGAAATGTTTAGGATGAAGTAAAAAGTTCTTCTAACACCAAAACCTTTTAAACAACGACAGAATTCCAAGAAAGAACAACAGCGTCTGAACAACAAGTTTGAGTTTATAAATAAAAAGTGACAAAATATCAATTAAAACTAAATTTAATGCATAATTCATTCATTCCAGAGCTCGAGATCTTAAAAAAACATGACGCTTTTTTCTCTTTATATTCTAAATTGTGTTAAATTGTCAGTTGCTATGGCGATAGTTTTATTTTTTTTATCATTCTGAAGCCCGTGGACAGTTGGTGATTGATATGAAAAAAAAAATTGTATCTATATCTGGGCGACGTGTAAAAAGATGAACACTCGTTTATAGTTTTGCAGTGACATCAGTCTGGGGGTGTTCCGCTTCTGTATCTATGGTTTAATGTGAAATCTGTTACCATGGTGACACATGAACTCGTCCACATCAGCTGCAGCGAGTCAGGAGTTTAGTTTATTTTAGTTTAGTTTAGTTTAGTTGGTGACACTTTATAATAACCTTCATGAGCCTTAATAAACATGAACTAAGACTTAATGAACATAATGAACAGATGGTTTATTAACGCTCTGTTCACACCTGAGGACGTCTGCTCATTTACAAACTCCCGCTCCACCTCTGAGTTACTCGCAGAAAGTTCACACGAGATGAACAAAATCTGTAAATGACTCTGAGACTGAAAGAGAAAAGAAAAAAACGAAATAGAAAAGACACAATTACAACAACAAACACTGAGACGCAGATTCAGACGGGACGAGTTTTATCACCGGACGTCTGTGTTTGAAGAAATAGAGTCATATTTGCACCAATTTTGACTTTACAAATGACAGACGTGTCACTTTCACACAGGATTAAAATCTCAGACTCCTCCACAGTTATTACAAACACACGTCAAACTGATCCTGTGTGAATCCAGCTGAAGAATGATTCAGGGTTAAACATTTACGTGAAACTTAAAGAGCCTCAGACAAGTTAGAGTTCTGTCCCTTAATCATTCTTAATAAACCTTAATAAACGTTTAATTATAGCGCGGTAACAAGAACTGAAATATCGTGATATCGTATCGTCAAAAGTCTCACAATAACATCATGGCCTCTCACAATATATCATCAAATCACAAGTTCTTTTGCTTAAATGCAGATTTTATAGAAGCAACATCTTATGAACATCAGGAACTACATTTCCCATGATTCATTTCAGCGCAGCACATGAATAAATATGTTTTTTTATTGGAATTCTTGGGATTTTGACAGAAATATTTCACACTAAAATCTTGTCAGGGTATTTTAAAAACAAAAAAACGTCCCGTCCAAAATATCACACTAATGCACATCGTGATAAAACCGTGTGGAAAGATTTGGACATCGTTACGTCCCCATTTAACAATGAATGTGTTTATTAAGAGTAACGGGGTGTCGGTGTTGTGAAGTGTTGTGAAGTGTGTGCAGTGTTGTGCTCGTTGTGCTCGTTGTGCTCGTTGTGCTCGTTGTGCTCGTTGTGCTCGTTGTGCTCGTTGTGTTGCGTTGCACTTGTGTAACTGGATCGTCGGTACAACACACTATATTTATCTGCTGATGTCATATGTGTTGGTGCAAACTGGAACCACACTCGCACCACACACGGACCACATGTGTGCCTCTTCTGCTTCCTGTTGACTCCTTTTCTCAGAGTTTGTGAGTGTTTGTGTGTTTGAGTGTTTGTGAGAGATTGTGTGAGTTTGCCAGAGTTTGTCATGCGAGAGTCTTCGAGCTTTTATGAGAGTTTGCAAGAGATTGCGAGCGTTTGTGAGAGTTTGTGAGAGTCTGTGAGAGTCTGTGAGAGTTTGTGATAGTCTGCGAGAGTCTGCGAGAGTCTGTGAGACTCTGCAACACTCTGCGAGTGTTTGTGAGAGTTTACGAGAGTCCGCAAGAGTCTTTGAGAGTTTGCGAGAGTGTGAGAGTTTGCAAGCGTCTGCGATAGTTTGCGAGAGTTTACGAGAGTCTGTGAGAGTCTGCGAGAGTCTGCGAGAGTCTGCGAGAGTCTGCGAGAGTCTGCGAGAGTCTGCGAGAGTCTGCGAGAGTCTGCGAGAGTCTGCGAGAGTCTGGGAGAGTCTGGGAGAGTCTGGGAGAGTCTGGAGAGTCTGCGAGAGTTTACGAGAGTCTGCGAGAGTTTGTGAGAGTCTGCGAGCGTTTGTGAGAGTCTGCGAGTGTGTTGTTAACTGCGTTGTTGACCGTGTTTGTATCTGAAGCTCACTCTGAGGTGGTGGAGGTGGTGGAGGCGTTGAGCTGCAGCCCACAGTCGCCTCGGAGACTCCGGGGGGCGGCAGGTCTGTGTCCCTCTGTGCATCTTTAATAACACAGAATAACAACAGCGTGGAGTGAACTCAGACGCTCTAATGTGAACTCAGACGCTCTAATGTGAACTAACAGCGAGCGGCTCTGCTTTACACTCACACTCATCCAGACGTGCCTCAAAAACACTCTGTGCACTTTATTCTGACATAATTCAGGTCGACCAGGAGCCACTCTCCACATAACAGACTCGATTTAAAGCTGCACTCTGTCACTTTTCTGGTGGAGAATTTGGCAGATGCTTTTTTTTGTGGAGATTTTATTGCTTTGTCTGGAGCGTTAAACCTTTCTGTTTCAGACGCAGCTCCAGGTCAGATCTGTGGAGAGGCGACCTGCTCACACTCACAGTCTGTCTGTTTTTTGAGATTTAAATCCACCTGTGATTGAATTAGAGCTGTTTTATTTTTTTTTATTAAAGACAGTAGAATCCAACATTTAACAAAATACAAAAATAAACCTAAAAACAAAACACAAATATAAAAAATTCAAGCCGCAAGCAGCATCTCTCCGTCTCCGTGTGACTGTGGCTTTGGGTTTTCACCGAGCCCATAAACTAAACACATAAAGTCACACACCCTGGAGATGCTGATGCGCCGACGCCGATAAACGTGGGCACTTTATGACGTCGCCGTGGCAACGCTCGTGAGTGTCGCCCGCTGACCTCCCGTTGACCTCCGTTATAAACACGGCCCAGGTCCGTCTGCGGGGGGTTGCTGGGAAACTGCTGCACAGTTTTCTGTCCTGCGCACAAGAATATTTCTGAAAGCTTTCGTACTCCATAACGACGCTTCATTACAGGTCAGATCTGTGGAGAGGCGTCCTGCTCACAGAAGAATGATTGTGTTTTTGAGCAGCAAAACGGAAACACCCGTGATGAATAAACGCTGAATAAAAATGTTTAAAGTCAAAACATGGAACATTCCCGGTAAATCAATGACTCCCTCCACCTGAAAAGTTCCACGGTGCAGCTTTAAACGTAACAGTATGTGGGTTTATTAGTGGGCTGTTTCCGCGTGAGCCGCTGTGATCACACGACGCTCTGAAACGTTAAACCTGCTGCGTTTTCTGCTCTAGATCCTGAAACAGTCTCTCTTTGTTTCACTCGAGCGGATTACAGCCGACTGTTCCGCTCGCAAACACAAAACACTCCGGTCCACCTTGTGATGTCATCGTGTGGTGACACAGGAAGTGCTCCGGTGTGTTTTTAAACTCCACAAACCTCATCGGGATCGTTTCAGCGCTGGAGTTTCTTTACTGATCTCCACTGAACTAAAAGCTTGGCCAAATTTAAAATATAAACACTTAAATCTATTAGAAAATGACTTAAAAGCAGTGAAATTATCTTTTTTACTTGACACTTCTCTTAAAATAAACGACCTGTAGACGAGAATGAAGCGTCTCAGAACGAGTAAGTCAATATTAAATCTGAAAACAACATGAAAAACTTAATTTAAGTTTTAAAATCTTGGCAAGATCAGAGAAATTTGCAGTGTTTAAAGGAGCTGTTCACTTGAAAACTACCACTTCATGACATCACGAGGTGGGACAGAGCGTTTGGAGCTTTGGCGATGTAAACAAACTACTCAAACAAACACAACTCCAGCTCTGTGTTTGAGGAGGAAACATTAGAACACGACTTAAACCTCACAGGAGTCGGTTTTGTGTCACGTAGAAACTTTAATCCCTGATTCTGGAAACACTTTGGACCTTCTCTGTTTATTTTAATCCATATTTAGATTCATAAATAACTTAAAGACGCACTGTGTGACTTTTCTACTTCCTGCGTGTCTCCGTGGTGATGTCATTGCTTTTCCTTTTTTCTCCACACTGACATTAAACCTAAACCTACAGTATCTGTGTTTACAAAGTTGAAAAAGCTGCGAAACTCAAAAAGAACAAAATAATTCATAATAACTCAGCTTTTTCAACTTGGTATTGGAGACCTGAGTGTTTGGTTCCTGCACTGAAGATGCTGAAAGGAAAAGTTTTGTAGTAAAGTGTCTCTTCTGCCCCCTAAAGTCAGACCTGTATTTAGTTTATTCAGTTACGTTTCTTTTGATTGTCCGTAAAGACCTCGAAAAACACAGATTCTGGCTCGCCTCTCCGCTGGTACGACCCGTAACTTTGCCTCGGGATGGTGCGTGGAGATAGATGAATGTAAAGCCATACTGTGGAAAATTCTAGGCAAAGTATCAACATCTCCACGGAGACGTAAAATCAAAAATCTTTGTCACAGCTGCAGACGTCTGGGTTGATTTGGAGAGTTAGTTTTTACCTGTGGCTCTGTTTCGCTCAGGTGTGGCTCAGGGTTTTTCTATTATTTTATCTAAAACGTCTCCAGACTTTTTCGTCCTGTGAGCTGCTTTTACAAAACGAAAAGACCTGAGAGCTTCTGTAGTTTTAACAATCACAAGAAACGGAACAAATATAAGAAGAGCCACAGTGAGTCTCAGGCTCCGTTCAGTCTGCAGGGTTTAAAGCTGAATTCAGATTTTTTTGGTGAAATCTGATTTTTGTTGCGAGGTCGTTCACATTTCCAGTTAAATGTGACGTGTGTGTGACTCCAGTGTGAACGTTAAACGCCCCAAAAGTGTCACACATGAACATCGAGACACGACGACGTCACACACAGCGAGTGTGCTCAGGGTTTTTTAGATACGATATTCAAATAAGGTTCCCATAATTTTGCTAAATCTTTTCGTTTTCCCTTTGTTATAAATGTGGATCTTTCTGAAAGTTCCTTAATCCTCTGTTTTGTTGAAGGGGGCTTCAATATTTTTTCAGTTCAAGGCGATGGTTCTTCTGGTGTGTAATAATCCAAACTCCAGTCATTTTTCTTTTTTTTTATTTATTGTCTGTCATAAACCTTCTGGATATTTTCCCAATCCCACAGTTTTGCACTCAGAGGAATCTTTACATTAAATATTCCTGTCAGATATGTTATAATTTATAATCTCTTTCCAAAATATTTGAACTGCTGAGGATTCACAGAGACGGTGTAGAAGAGTTTCTTTATGATGACCACATTTAGTAAAACGTTTTCTGGTGAATTTCTCCTTTTGTCTTGAATTCTACCTCGATGACTGAGGAATTTTCCAGGTTTTTAAAATTTCCACACCTTTTCTCTTTAGTTCAGTAGAGATTTACAACTCCAGGACTGAAATGATCGAAATTATTCTAAACACAGTGGAGCACGTCCTTCCTGCACAGAACCGTTTCTTTCTGTGTGTTTGACAGAAGAACTTGTGATAAATGTGCAGGTTTGTGTGTTTTAAATTTGCGTGAATGAAGCAAAACACAACTCCAGGTTTGTGTGTGACGAGGAAACCACATGAAAACACAAAAAATAGTTTAATCTTGGCTGAATTTCAAAACACAAAACATGAATGAACCAAATAATTAACCAGAAAAAGACAAAAATATCTCTTTATTCCTTTTGTTGTTCTTGGAGATTGCAGCAGACTAAGACACACTTGAGTTTTAATTATAGAATTTATACTATAATTTTATCTATTTTTCACATGTTCCAACTCAAATAAAAGTTTTTGTTGCTTCTAAAACAAGAAAATTCACAAAGTCGGATGGTGTCACCAGTGACTAAATGAAGTGAAGTGTGTGTGTGTGTGTGTGTGTGTGTGTGTGTGTGTTTGTGTGTGTGTGTGTATTCGTGCATTTGTGTTGCTCCAGGTAGAAAAGCGCTCGACCTAAACCTGCGTGTCTGGAGCGTCACTGCCCCCTGGTGTCTGTAAAATGAAGTGGAAAAACTGTTCACTGTACATTTTCACTCGCCAAAAAAAACAGTTTATTCTCCAAACCTTTAAAATCCTGCTCTGTTTTTGAGGAAAGAACATTAGAACATTGATTTACTGTAATTTAGGAGCTTTAATAATAATTAAACGACGTGTCTTAAACTCCAAAAACGTTTAAATAATCAGATTTTGAGTTTTTTTTCTCTGTTCTGTCTCTAAACTGTTTTATTTTTCTCTTTTCCAGCCGATAAGTTGGAGTTCCATCCGCCCATTCGCAAAGAGACCGAGGCACATTCAGAGATGGTAACGTTTTGTCAACTCCTTATTATGTCTCAAAAAAAATATAATCACTCTTTTAAAATAAACGTTTAACTCAAAACACGATCCAATATGTAATTTAAAAACGAGATGTGACTGTACGACTAGAAAAAATGGGATTTATTTGAGTTGTAAATGAGGTGAAAGTTTTATTTTTTCACCAGTACGACCAAAAAACTGAAATGAAATGAAAGCTGCACTGTGTAACTTTGTGGTTGTGGGTCCGTCACCTGCTTGTTTCCATGGAGACGTCACTGCTCTGTCTGGAATGTTCCACAGTGTGACATTAAGCAGCTCTGACTAAAAAGATTTACCAGATTTTTTGGACTATAAGTGGCTTTTTTTTCATGGTTTGGTTGTTTTCTGCGACTTAAACTCAGGTGTGATTTATTTATTCAAATTATATCGTTTCACAAGTTTGTTATTTTCCCCCTGACGGCCTCCAGGGGGCGCTCTGGGTCTGTGTGTCAGTGTCTGCTGCTCCTCTCACTCCTGAACCTCTGAAAATGTTCAATTTAAACATCAACTTACAAAGACTGAACACAAACGCCCCTAAAAACAAAATCATGTTCTGCAGATTTCAAGCTGCAAGTCGTGAAATCTGCAGCTGAAAAAATAATAATCGAGCAGAAAGAAAGAAAATGTTGGTTTACAAAGTTTTTAATAACCTCGCTCCACCTCTACAGGAGTTTGTGAAAAGAAATTCACATCGCACAAGAGCAGCTCTAGAGGCTCTAGAGGCTCCAGAGGCTCTAGAGGCGTTTAGGAAAAGCTTTTGGACAGTTTTCTTTAGTTTATCGAGCAGCTCAAACGTGGAACACAGAGAAACTGCTCATGGACGAGATCTTTAAACACTGCAGCGTTTTCTAAAACTTTAAAACACGATGTTTAATGGACAAATATGTCTCCAGGTTTAACCAAGAGAAACTTAAACTTTGCCAAATGTATTGATCCACAGGGAAATGATTTGGACACAGAGTCACACGTCACAATAAAATATAACAAAGAGTGAAAATATAAACACTAATAATAAATTCTAAATAAATTCTAGCAAAAAAGAGCAGGAGACGAATAAGACATAATTATATATAAATGTAAATGTACAAGTCAAAATAAAATAAAACTTGTGAGGGATGAGGGAGAGCGGAGGAGACTCGAACTGAAATGAAGAAAATGAAAAAAGTTTGACGTCCAGAGTCAGAGGAACAAGTTCACAGACGACTGCAGAGTTGAGTTAGAAAAGTGACACAGTGCAGCTTTATTTTGTGTTAAATTATGTGTTTTCTCAGTTTTTTTTTTGTTTTTTTTGTTTTTTTAGGATGTGAATAAAGAAAACGACTTCTCTTCAGCCTGGAGTCCGTTTGCAGAAGGAGGAATTTCCTCCAGGTAAAACAGAGACTCAGAGTTTAAGTCTGACTCCACATGATCCTCCAGACGACAGAATCAAACCTGCTCTGTGTGTTTGTTCTGTGTGTTTTGTGTTTCACTCTCTGCACTTGTGTAAATCTCTTCATGTTCTCCAGTCTAACCCAGCTGCATGTTACACTCTACTCCTGTTATTTATTTATTTATTTATTTGTTTGTTTGTTGATCGATCAGTGAGCGCGTTTACATCGAGCGTTCGAGTGTCCCGGTTCTTGTCGGGTTTTGGAAGTGTCTCCTGGATTTTAAGGAGCATCATTTGCCCAACTTTTTGAAAATCAATCTGTATCTAGTATCTTTTTTTACACTTGTCAAAGTAAAGTTCCAGGAGAAATTTCATGAAATTCTCTTCATGCAACTGGATCCACCAAACCTCTGGAGTTTAACGTCTGTGGCCTTAAATCTGAGCTGAAACATCAGTTTTTTTAATAACATCCTTATTCTTTCTGGAAACTTGGGTTTACCAAACTCTGAGTCGCACCTGTCACAGGGACGCACCTGTCACTGAGTCGCACCTGTCACTGAGACGCACCTGTCACTGAGACGCACCCGTCACTGAGACGCACCCGTCACTGAGACGCACCCGTCACTGACGCACCCGTCACTGAGCACCCGTCACTGAGACGCACCCGTCACTCACTGAGACGCACCCGTCACTGACCCGTCACTGAGCCGCACCTGTCACTGAGCCGCACCCGTCACTGAGTTGCACCTGTCACTGGGCCGCACCTGTCATTGAGTTGCACCTGCCACTGAGTCGCACCTGTCATTGAGTCGCACCTGTCACTGAGCCGCACCTGTCATTGAGTCGCACCTGTCACTGGGTCGCACCTGTCACTGGGTCGCACCTGTCACTAAGCCGCACCCGTCACTGAGACGCACCCGTCACTGAGACGCACCCGTCACTGAGACGCACCCGTCACTGAGTTGCACCTGTCACTGAGACGCACCTGTCACTGAGTCGCACCTGTCACTGAGACGCACCTGTCACTGAGTCGCTCTGGTAACATCACTTCCTCCACTTTTTTCTACAGTCTCTGATCTCTACAGAAACAACAAACTTTGTTTCTCATTTTATCTTTGGACTTTGTGGATTTTGGAGAATTATGAAAAAAACACTAAAAATCTTGACAAAATGATCATATCTTAGAAAGTTATGAAGATAAAGATATGAAGTTTGTACCAAAAGATGCACAACAGCAACATTTATATTCAACTGTCACAGACACTATGGACCTGAAAGGAATATTTTTAAAGTTATTTGAGAAAAACTGATGTTTCACCTGGAGCCTGATGCAGCTTCAGAGTCTTGGTGAACCCAGTAGATTTTATTCAACTGAGCCAAATATTCCACAGATTTTCTTTTAAGTGGTTTTAAAAATTGGTACAAGTTGAATTTCTGACATTGGAGTAAATGATGCAGCTGATGCACATGTCAGTGTCTCGCTGATGAGAAACCAGGAAACTCTCAAGTCCAGTTTATGTTCGTGCGTCAGATCGTCTGCGTCGAGCCTCCTCCACAGAACGTCTGCGTCTGCGTCTGCGTCGACCAGCGTGCACCTCAGAACTTCTGTAAGTACGTGTGGAAGTGACACAGACAACAGGAAAGCGACGCACATTCACTCTACAAACATTTCAGGTTTTCCGCTTCCCGATTCATTTTGTTACACGAACTCCAGGTTTAACTCGTCGCCTCCTGGTGTTGTGGAGGTGAATTACTTTGATGCAGATCCATAAATCAAAAACTGACGGCGACAAAGCGACTGCAGCAGAGTGCGATGAGTCGACGCAGAATTATAATTCGGCCTTCAGAGAGTTTTTCAGAGTTTTTCAGAGTTTTTCAGAGTTTTTCAGAGTTTTTCAGAGTTTTTCAGAGTTTTTCAGAGTTTTTCAGAGTTTTTCAGAGTTTTTCAGAGAGTTTTCAGGACACTGGTCTGGAGACGCAGCTGGAGAAGAGACGACTCAGAACAATTATTATAGAATTAAAAAAAACCTGAAGCTTTGTCCTCGTCCCTTTGTTTGTTTTGTTTTGTCCTGCTGTAACTTCACTTACACTGTATTAACACATTATTTACTTTCAAAGCTGCACTGTGGAACTTTACTGGTTCAAGGTCCGTCACCTGCTGGTTTCTACGGAGACGTCACTGCTCTGGAATGTTCCCCAGTGTGACTTTAATCAGCTCGACTTTACATTTATTCAGTTACAGGAGGCATTTAGAGTCAAAAATCCCTCGAAAAACAGACCTTGTGACTGTGAACGAGGTCGAATACTTTGAAAAGTGTTTGACGGAGCCTCCACCAGAAAAGTTCCCCAGTGCGGCTTTAACCAGAGCCTTGTTTTGCACGCTGCTGTTTTGTTTTTTTTGCTTTGACTCTTTATTTTCTCTCCTCTCTCACCTCTGTGTCGTCCGCCGCCGTCGTCTGTCCTTTCAAGGAGTCTTCTCAAAAGTGTTGAGGACGAATTGTTCCAACGGTAAAACTAACACGGCGTCCTGCACCTGACCTCTGACCCCTGACCCCTTAACGACCTCTGACCTCCACACACTTCGCTCTCACACGCCTCCGTCAGCTCATGTGCTGCTGGAGAAGCTGCTCAAATAGAAATCAAAAATGTCTTCAAACTAAATCTAAGTTCTGGGGCTTTGTGTTTTTTCTTGATAATCTGAGCTGAAGGTTTGGGGTTTGATTCCCGCTTTGACTCGTGCCTGCTGTTGCTGTGTCCTTGAGCATTACACTTTCTCATCTGCCTTTTGCCTTTGTGTGGTTCTGACTTAATCCTTTCTCCACCTGTATGTCGGGTCGGTGGGTCACGAGGCGTTTTTCATTCTGGTTTGTGTTTGTTGCTCTGAAACGTGCGTCCTGACTGAGCAGGCTCGCCTCTCCACAGACCTGACTCATTTGGCCTAGAGGAGAGCTGCCTCCTCCTGCTTGTTTCCATGGAAATGTTTTCCTTTAGATAATGTTCCACAGTGTAGTGTCTGTCTCCTTGGAGAAGTTTGGCTTTAACTTTTCCATTTCCATGAAAGCAAGAAGGTCAGAAGGTCAGAAATGATCACTAACAACTACTGTACTTTATTGTACTTTACTGTGCTTTGCTGTACTTTATTGTACTTTATTGTACTGTACTATTGTATTTTCTTGGATTATTGTAAAATCTCATGAACAAAAAGACATTTAGAGTTTCAAAAGTCTTGACCTGTGGGACTCAAACAGGAGATTCTAAACCAAAGCCGTTCATTTGGTCGTCTTATGTGTTTTAACTTCATGGATTCATTTTTATTTAAAGACAGTAAAGTGTATTTATCTTGTTGACGTGTTTCGACTGCTGATTGAACGTGACAGATGAAACATGTCGACAAGATAAATAAACTTTACTGTATCATCTTTAAAAAAACAACCCAAGAAGTGAAAACAGGAGTTACTTTAAACTAAACTCTAAATATATCCAGTATATGGTGTTTTAATCACAAAATTTGAGTCTTTATGGTCAAAAATGTATAAAAATGAGCATGTCGTGCTCCAGTGGCCTCTGGGGTTTCAGGTACTACATGACATCACACAGCACTGATCACAGATGTTAGAAAGAGCAGAGTCGATACCTGTTAAACCACAAATCACACCGTTTGTTATAACCCCAGACCCCACCCCTCCTCCCCTCCCCTCCTCCTCAGACCCCGCCCCTCCTCCCCTTTAGGCCCCTCCCACTTTAGCCTCTCTATCTGAATCATGATTACAGGCGGAGTTTAGATGTTTAGTGCCGTTTTAAACCTGTGAAGCTCCTCCCCCATGACCTCACCTGTCGTTAGCCCCGCCCACACCTGTCGTCTGTCACGTCTCCGTCTTACGTCGCTTGTTATTGCTCTCCCCGTCGCTCCCTCGGGCTCCTGTGATGATCCCCTCTCCTCCCCAGAGTCCAGTTTTCCGTCTCTCCTCAGACCAAATCGTCATAAACATTTGTTCCGTAATTTTCCCCCGGAGACGACCATGACTCTGATCTTCCACCGTCTGTCTGTTGTTTTCCAGCGGACACGTGGCTCCTCTGGAAGACGCCTTTGAAGATGTGGAAATGTAAGAGCTCAGCAGGTTCAGGTCGACTCTTCGGTCTCTTTAATTGGGGCGGTGCTAAAAATAATCTCGTGTTTTTTTGCAGATCGACTCTGAAACCCGGAGTTCCCCCTCCACTGCCCCCAAAGGTACGGACTTAACTGGTCTCACCAAACCTCATTAGAACATCGTTAGGAAAATCATCAGCTAAGCTCTTTGTGTGTCTTATTAAACCAGGGACTACAGCACGTTTATCTCTATTTATAAAGTATTTACTCGAGTATAAGTATCACCAGATTAAAAATGTGTCATGAAGAAGAAAAAAACACGGTTGGGCGTCCGTCACCTGCTCGTTTCCATGGAGACGTCATTGTTCTCCCAGGAATGTTCCACAGTGTGACTTTAAACAGCTCGACTTTACATTTATTCAATTATAGATGGATTTAGAGCTCAAAAAAAGGATTGAATCAAGACCAAACCAGGACTAAAACTGGTCTAAACCGGGACCAAACCAGGACCAAACCAGGACTAAAACTGGTCTAAACCTGGACCAAACTAGGACCAAACCAGGACTAAAACTGGTCTAAACCGGGACCAAACTGGGACCAAACCAGGACCAAATTAGGACCAAACCAGGACTAAAACTGGTCTAAACCGGGACCAAACTAGGACCAAACCAGGACTAAAACTGGTCTAAACCGGGAAACCAAACCAGGACTAAAACCAAGACCAAACCAGGACCAAACTTAGGACCAAACCAGGACTAAAACTGGTCTAAACCGGGACCAAACTGGGACCAAACCAGGACCAAAACAAACAGGACTAAAACAGGAAAACCGGGAAAACTGGAACTAAACCGGGACTAAAACTGGGACCAAAAACCAAACCAGGACCAAACTAGGACCAAACCTAAAACTAAAACTTAAAAAACTGGACTAAACCAAACTACCAGGCCAAAAACTGGGAACCCAAACCAGGACCAAACCAGGACTAAAAAAACTGGTCTAAAACTGGGAACCAAACCGGGACCAAACTAGGACCAAACCAGGACTAAAACTGGTCTAAACTTTGGCTAAACCAGAGCCAAATCAGGATTAAACCAGGAATTAAAACTGGTCTAAACCAAAGGACCAAACCCAAAAGACTAAACCAGGACTAAACCAGGACTAAAACTGGACTAAAACTGAGCTCTAGATTTCATTGTTGGTGTTTATTTTCTGAATCCATCACAGACGATTTTAATGAAACTTTTATAAAATCCATCGTTAAAACTCTGATTCTCTTTTTTCTTTCAGCCTCGCTTGAGTTCGTCGGACGACGTGGGTCTGAACGACGAGCGCTCTCTGACGGTGAAGAGGTTTCCAAGCTCCGAGAACGGTCCTGGCCCGACGGCACGAAGGAAATCCACCCCGGAGCAGGGACACAAAGCGGAGAACCAGCCGGACTATCTGTCTGTGAGCGTGAGCAGCCCCGGGATCCTGTCGCACTCCTCAGACCCCGGTGAGGAAACAAACGCACGCTTTAAAACCAAACTTTATATCACGAGGTTTTAATCACTTTCATTTTATTTATATAAAACTTTAAAAACAACCAACGTGCTTCACATAAAAGTTAACGACAACAAACGACAGTAAAACACCAAGATGTTCTGTCGAGTCTGAAATGCCCGGGAGAAGAGGAGAGTGTTGGTGTTATATTTAAAGATTTACTTCAACATTTTACTTTTTTTTTCCTCCCAGTTTGGCTGTTTTTTTTTTTAGGGTTCATCACGCTGGGGAATTTTATAACTGTTCCCTAATAACTCTTTTGTCACATTAGTAAAAAAATAAAATAAAATAAAAAATAAATAAAATACAATAAAATAATAAAATAAAATAAATAAATAAAATAATAATAGTAAAAACCTAAAATTAATACAAAATGTAAAAAAAGAAGGTAAAATAAAATAAATAAATAAATATAATACAATAAAACATTAATAAATAACAATATAAATATACTGTATATATACAATATAAATACAAATAACAAATAAGTTGAATAAAAATAAATTAATGCAATAAACAAATAACATAAATAAAATGAATTTATTAAATTAAATCAATAAATTAAGAAAACAAAATAAAAAGAATTAATACAACATGTTCAAATAAAAAAATACAATACAGTACAAATAAAAATAAATTAATAAAATAAATAACATAAATAAATAAATTAATTATAAAAATACTAATAAGAAAAATACAATTAATACAGAATTTTTTTAAATCTCTAGCAACCATTGAGTACACTGGGCCCAAACTCCTCTCATGTACACAGAACTTATTATTTGACAAATAAAATGAAAAGAAAACTTTTATTTTGTTGAAATCATGTGAGAAGTGTCAGAAAAATTTGTTTCTTTTGTGTAAATTGCGTCAAACTTTTGGACAGAATTTTCCCGGTGTGATGTCATCAGTCTGGGACTCTCCACCTCCTGTTGTTTTTTCATATTTTTCAAGCTTTTTTCACAAATTTCTTTTTGATTTGTGTAAAACTATAATTTATATTTACGTTTTATCCCAACACATTAAGTCAAAATTTTAGAAACATTAAACCTGTCACATGTATTTTTATCCCAAATGAAACAGTTTTGCAGTCACAGTGATGCTAAAAACAACTAACATCCTAACAGCGCACTTCCTGTAAATAATTCCTTTAAATTTTTTTCACTACAAACTTTGCAATTGATTTAGATTTTGTTGTTTTCTTGCAAGCTCTCTGTAAAACCAAACACACAGGTAAGAACACACAGTTTGTTTCTCTAATGTCGCTTTTCTTCAGTTACACACTGTGGGAATTACAGGGTTGCAACGCCAAAGTAACAGCACAAAGTCTGAAACATTCAAGTTGAAGGAGGTTTAAAGGTGCACTGTGTAACTTTTCTGCTCACCTGCTTGTTTCTGTGGAGATGTTACATGATGGAAAAGTTACAGAATGCAGCTTTAAAACCAAACATGTTTAAAATGTGTTTAAATGTGTTTAAATGTGTTTAAATGTGTTTAAAATGTGTTTAAATGTGTTTAAATGTGTTTAAAATGTGTTTAAATGTGTTTTAAATGTGTTTAAAACGTGTTTAAATGTGTTTAAAATGTGTTTAAACGTGTTTAAAATGTGTTTAAAATGTGTTTAAATGTGTTTAAAATGTGTTTAAAATGTGTTTAAATGTGTTTAAAATGTGTTTAAAATGTGTTTAAATGTGTTTAAATGTGTGTTTCAGACAACGACTCGGACGACACTGTGAACGGAGACGGACCTCGACCTGCTCAGAGCCGACAGCACCGCAGAGACAAGAAGGACTTCCCCGTGAGTTTGAACTTCTCTTCTCCAACACTTTATCTCTGATCTTTGACGCTTTAAAAATCCTGGATCTGAAGTTTTGCTCCACATTTCACAAATAAAAATCACACAGTTTGGATCAAAACTAGAAGAGCAGAGTCTGATGTTTGAGCGACTGGTTTTACTGGAGACAGGAAACATCTGACGCTGTGGTGTGTCCCAGTCCAACCTGAGCCCAGTAGAAGTTCTAAATATTTGTGCTGTTGGGTTTTCACGCTCTAGAGCAGACGAGTCCAACTCAAACTCACACAGGCCAAAATTAAAAACTGGGACTAAGTCGTGGACCAAACTAAATATTTATTGAAACATTTCAACAACATCTGCAGGTTTTCTCTTTGCAGATCTGTAATGTCAAAATGACAAAAGTTAGTTCTGAAGAACTGAAGAAGCAGTTTGGACGAGCTGCGAAACGTTTGTCCAGTCGACAAACTGAATTTTTTTCTACCTGGACGACTGAGAGATTCTTCACTTTTTTTAGTAAAATAAATGTTTAATAAAAGTTTTGCTTAAACACTGAATCCAGAACAAACAGAATATAAAATAAGAACAACATTTTAAATAAATAAATTCTCTGTCTGTGTGCGGCTGCTGCTCTGACACAGATTTGATTTGATCTCACGGGACAAATATAATTATTTGATGGGCCTGAGTTTGACATCTCTGCTCCAGTGTGGTTTTGGTCAGAGGAACCAACGACACAGATCGACAGCCTCACTTCTGTCAGTCTGCCCCAGGGCGGCTGTGGCTGCAGTAGTTTACACCTCAGAGTGTGGAGAGAAAGAAGAACAACTCACCAAAGTGTAAAAGAGACTGAAGTTCTGTTTAAGACCAGGACATTATTATTTTCTTTAGATGATTGACGAGGCTCCAGCTTCTCCTGGTCCTGATTCTCCTGCAGGAAACTGAGGGAAGAAGTTTACAAATCCAGAGTTAATTTAGTTTAAGAGACTAAAACAGAAAGAGACTAAACAAAGAAGAAAAGCAGGAAAGACGAAGGGCAGGAGAAAAAGTGTAGAAAACACACACCACACACACACACACACACAACAACACACACACACACACACACTTTATTTTAGTTCAGTGGATTCAGACAGATTCTCTTTAAACTGAACCTGTAGATCAGGAATCTCCAACTTTTTTTCTCCTGAGTTTTTTTACCAAACAAAAATATCAGAGAACTGAAGAGTTCAAATAAGAGCCTGTGTGTGTCCTCTGCTGTTTTATGGTGTGTGTTTGTTTTTATGGTGTGTGTTTGTTTTTATGGTGTGTGTTTGTTTTTATGGTGTGTGTTTGTTTTTATGGTGTGTGTTTGTGTTTTTATGGTGTGTGTTTGTGTTTTTATGGTGTGTGTTTGTGTTTTTATGGTGTGTGTTTGTGTTTTTATGGTGTGTGTTTGTGTTTTTGATGTTGTGTTTCCTGTATGTTTTCCGGTGTGTGTTTTTTACGGACTGTTTCCTGTGTGTTTGTAGAAACCGGCCATCAACGGACTTCCTCCCACTCCCAAAGTCCTGGTGAGCTCCTCCTCCTGTCACTGCTGCTGCTGGAAACACTGGGGTTTTACATTTTCATTTGTGGTCACGAAGTCCCAACATCTGAGAGTTTAACCTCGGTTTAACCTCGGTTTAACCTCGGTTTAACCTCGGTTTAACCTCGGTTTAACCTCGGTTTAACCTCAGTTTAACCTCGGTTTAACCTCAGTTTAACCTCGGTTTAACCTCAGTTTAACCTCAGTTTAACCTCAGTTTAACCTCAGTTTAACCTCAGTTTAACCTCGGTTTAACCTCGGTTTAATCTCAGTTTAACCTCAGTTTAACCTCAGTTTAACCTCGGTTTAACCTCAGTTTAACCCGACTGGAACCACGAGATTAAAGACCGAGACCAAACGAACCCAAACTAACCCCAACAAACCCCTGAACCTGAACAAGAATCACACAGACAAGAGCTGTTGAGTTTGGGAAGCACATGGGACGACAAGATTATACCAGGACCCAAACATGGACCAAACATGGACCAAACATGGACCAAACCAGGACTAAAACCTGGACTAAAACCTGGACTAAAACCTGGACTAAAACCCGGACTAAAACCCGGACTAAACCCGGACTAAACCCGGACTAAACCCGGACTAAACCCGGACTAAACCCGGACTAAACTGGACTAAACCAGGACTAAACCAGGACTAGAGGTGGACGTGACTGAACCAATAATAAAAGTTCTAAATTGTTCTAAGAAAAAGTCTAAATTTGATCTAAAATGTGACTAAAACTAAACCAAATCTAAACCATTATTATATTTTTTAATTATTATTATTAATATTAAACTTAAAATGAAAGTTCATTATTACAGGAATAATAAAAAGAATCTGTTTTTGTGTCCGTGTTTCAGATGGGGGCGTGTTTCTCTAAAGTGTTCGACGGGTGTCCACTCAAAATCAACTGTGCCACGTCCTGGATCCACCCCGACACAAAAGGTAAACGACAGGAACAAACGGTAAACGACAGGAACAAACGGTAGACGACAGGGAACAAACGGTAAACGACAGGACAAACGGTAAACGACAGGAACAAACGGTAGACGGCAGGAACAAACGGTAGACGGCAGGAACAAACGGTAAACGACAGGAACAAACGGTAAACGAGAGACACACAAAAGGTAAACGGCAGGGACAAACGGTAAACGACAGGGACAAAAGGTAAACAACAGGGACAAAAGGTAAACGAGAGGAATTCGTGTGTTATTTGTTCATTCATTTTTCAAAACAAAACCAAAAATAAGAAAACAAATAAACAACGGTTTTCTTCATTATTTGTCTCCAAAACCAAAATGAAAAAACAGATAATGATTTGTTTTTTTTCAGTTTTTGATTTTGTGTTTAAATGAAAAATGGGAAAAAAAAAGATAACGACGCGACTTCAGTGACTGTGATGTCGGAGTGAACCAGGACTGATCCAGGTCCGGGACTGAGACCGGGACTGAGACCGGGACTGAGACCGGGACTGAGACCGGGACTGAGACCGGGACTGAGACCGGGACTGAGACCGGGACTGAGACCGGGACTGAGACCGGGACGAGACCGGAGGGTCAGAGTCCACAGCAGGACTGGAGCTCGAAGCTGAGGCTCAAACCCTGCGGAGGCTCGGAGTCAAGGCTCAGAGTCCGCCCTGGTCCCGGTCACAGTCCCGGTCCCGGTCTGGTCCCGGTCTGGTCCTGGACCTGGACCTGGTTCAGTCCTGGTTCAGTCTGTATTCGGTGCAAAAGTCCGACATCTCAGTCACTGAAGTCACGTAAACAGGAAACGGTCGTTATCAGATTTTTCCATTTTTCATTTAAACACAAAATCGAAAACTGAAAAAACAAATCATTATCTGTTTTTTCATTTTGGTTTTAGAGACAAATAATGAAGAAAACTGTTGTTTTTTTTCATTTTTTTATTTTTGGTTTTATATTGAAAAACAAATGAACGACATAAACATGACAGAAGTCTGTCCGGCTCCCACAGTTACAGTTTGTTTCAAGTTGAAAAAGTTAGAATCATGTTTTTAGTTTCTGACTGGTGTTTTCCGTGTTCTTCCAGATCAGTATCTGATCTTTGGGACGGAGGACGGGATCTACACTTTAAATCTGAACGAGCTGCATGAAGCCACCATGGAGCAGGTAACACACTTTAACATGAAGAATATTAAAGAAGAAACTACAGACCATCACACAGACTTTTACTGTTGTATTTTCTGTGAACACTAATCACAACCGTTCTTTCTCTCCTCTTTCTACTCTCCCTTTCCTTCTCTCTTTACTTCTCTCCTTCTGTCTGTCTCTTCTCCTCTTCCTTTCTGTCGCATCTCTCTTCTTTCTCTCCCTTTCCCTCTTTCTCTCTTGCTCCTCTTTCTATCCCTTTCTGTCTCTCTTACTCTCTCTTTTCCTCTCGCTTTCTCTCCCTCTCTTTGTTTTATCCTCTCTCCTCTCCCTCTCTTTCTCTTCTCCTTTCCTTTTCTCACTCTCTCTCTCTCTCATCCTCTTTCTCCTCTCCCTTTCCTTCTGTCTTTCCTTCCCTCCTTCTATCTGTCTCTTCTCCTCTCCCTTCCTCTCGCTCTTTCTTCTCTTTCCTCCTTTCCCTCTGTATCTCTTACTCCCTTCTTTTCCTCTCCCTTTCCCTCTGTTTCCTCATCTCCCTCACTCTCTCTTCTCCTCTCCCTTTCACTCACTCTTTCTCTCTTCTTTCTCTCCCTCTCTTTGTTTTATCCTCCCTCCTCTCCCTTTCTCTCTTTCCTCATCTCCCTCTTTCTCTTCTCCTTTCCTTTTCTCACTCTCTCACTCATCCTCTCACTTTCCTTCTGTCTTTCCTTCTCTCCTTCTATCTGTCTCTTCTCCTCTCCATTTCTCTCACTCTTCTCTTTCCTTCTCTTTCCTCCTTTCCCTCTTTTTCTCTTACTCTCTCTCTTTCCTCTCCCTTTCATTCTGTTTCCTCATCTCCCTCACTCTCTCTTCTCCTCTCCCCTTCTCTCTCTCTCTCTCTCTTTTCTTTCTCTCCCTCTCTTTCTCTTATCCTCTCTACTCTCCCTTTCCTTCTCTTTCTCTTCACCTTTCCTTTTCTCTCTGTCTCTCTCTCACTTTTATCCTCTCTCCTCTTCCTTTCCTTCTGCCTTCTGTCTTTCCTCCTCGTTTTCTCTCCTTTATCTCTCCCTTTCTGTCTCTCTCTTTCCTCCGTTCACTCTTTCTCTCTCTTCTTCTCCTCTTCTCTTCTCTCTTCTTTTCTCTGTGTTCAGTTGTTTCCTCGTCGTTGCACTTGGCTGTACATCATCAACAACAACCTCATGTCTCTCTCAGGTACAACTCCTATTTATAAAACTCTATATTTATACACACACACACACACACACACACTGTACACACACACACACACACACACAAACCCTACAGGTGTGCGTACGTGTGTGTGTGTGTGTGTTTGTGTGGAGCTGTGACAGAAATAAACGGGTTTGTTGTCGTTATAAATCAATGTGCTCGTGTGTTATCTGCCCTCTGTCTCACACACACACACACACACACACACACTCTGTTACACACACACTCACACACACTCTCACACTCTGTCTCTTTGTCCCTATAGCCGCGTGACTCGGGTCTTTGTCCGTGTGCGAGTTTAGACGATGACGAACGACTTTACCTACAGAATAATGGCGTTGGTTTCCGTGGAGACCAGCTGTAGACGCAGATAAACACGTCCGACGCCGCGACACGACACGACACGATGCGCTTTTAACACGAGCTCGTAAAGATATTTTTATCTTCAGAAACAAAACGGCAGCTGACAAAAATAACACGCCTCTGTTTCTGATTTAGAACAATTACTGTAAATAGTTTTGTAAAATGGAGCCACGACGTCAGAGTTTAACCTCCAGACCTGAAATATGATTTATTTAATCATGTAGAACTTTACAACCATGAAAGATGGAATAGAAAGAGAGTTTTTCCCTTTTAAAAGCTGAGAGTTTTGTCTTTCTGATCATATTTCCGCTGTGTGATGATGTAGAGAAAACAAGTGTCCAATATGAACTTTGTTTTAGTCCAAACTCAGTGGCTCCGTCCATTTTGATTGATCCAAACTTTACCAAAAAGTGAAGTGAGTCAAACTGGTCGATGTTCTGAGCCTGGAGGTGGACCCGTGTAGAGCGTCTGGTGACCACAGGCCAAAGGACAAACACAGAGCTCCAGACCTCACGGAGCTGAAGCAGACGCCACCCGATCACACTGTGTGGACAACCTGCTCCACAGGCTGAGTTTTCTCTCTCAAGTCCAAGATTAGTCCTGGTTTAGTCCTGGTTTAGTCCTGGTCACATAATAACATGATTCTGCATCATTTTGAGTAAAAAAAAACATCAAATATTAGTGATTTTTCCTGGGCTGGCGCCTTAATGTTTCTACTGAAAGTGAGTTGGTTTATAAAAAAAAAATTTAAAAAAATGCAATCTGTGGCCCTGTTCACACTAGTGTGTTTGTTGGTCCAGATGTGATGGGGACTGGTGTGACTCCTGAAAACTCTGATACTCTGATGTGTGTCTGTCATCGTCAACGCATTCACCACAAAACACTAAGACACACAATATGTGTCCATTCACATAAACATGTGTCTGTGTGCACCACCTGCACACGTATAATGTGTGAAAAGTTTCACATGAACCAACAACACGACAGAAACACAGAACAGACTGAGCATCAGCAGAACACCCCTCTGTCACACAGAGAGAACACCCCTCTGTCACACAGAGAGAACACCCCTCTGTCACACAGAGAGAACACCCCTCTGACACAGAGAGAACACCCCTCTGTCACAGAGAGAACACCCCTCTGTCACAGAGAAAACCCCTCTCACAGAGAGAACACCCCTCTGTCACAGAGAGAACACCCTCTGTCACAGACAGAGAACACCCCTCTGTCACAGAGAGAACACCCCTCTGTCACAGAGAGAACACCCCTCTGACACAGAGAGAACACCCCTCTGACACAGAGAGAACACCCCTCTGACACAGAGAGAACACCCCTCTGTCACAGAGAGAACACCCCTCTGACACAGAGAGAACACCCCTCTGTCACAGAGAGAACACCCCTCTGTCACAGAGAGAACACCCCTCTGACACAGAGAGAACACCCCTCTGACACAGAGAGAACACCCCTCTGTCACAGAGAGAACACCCCTCTGTCACAGAGAGAGAACACCCTCTGTCACAGAGAGAACACCCCTCTGAACACAGAGAGAACACCCCTCTGACACAGAGAGAACACCCCTCTGACACACAGAGAGAACACCCCTCTGACACAGAGAGAACACCCTCTGTCACAGAGAGAGAACACCCCTCTGTCACAGAGAGAACACCCCTCTGTCACACAGAGAGAACACCCTCTGACACACAGAGAGAACACCCCTCTGTCACAGAGAGAGAACACCCCTCTGTCACAGAGAGAACACCCCTCTGACACACAGAGAGAACACCCCTCTGACACACAGAGAGAACACCCTCTGTCACACAGAGAGAGAACACCCCTCTGTCACAGAGAGAACACCCCTCTGTCACAGAGAGAACACCCCTCTGAACACACAGAGAGAACACCCCTCTGTCACAGAGAGAACACCCCTCTGTCACACAGAGAGAACACCCTCTGACACACAGAGAGAAACCCCTCTGTCACAGAGAGAACACCCCTCTGACACAGAGAGAAACACCCCTCTGACACAGAGAGAACACCCCTCTCACAGAGAGACACACAGAGAGAACACCCCTCTGACACACAGAGAGAACACCCCTCTGACACAGAGAGAACACCCCTCTGTCACAGAGAGAACACCCCTCTGACACAGAGAGAACACCCCTCTGTCACAGAGAGAACACCCCTCTGACACAGAGAGAACACCCCTCTGTCACACAGAGAGAACACCCCTCTGACACACAGAGAGAACACCCCTCTGTCACAGAGAGAACACCTCTCACAGAGAGAACACCCCTCTGTCACAGAGAGAACACCCCTCTGACACAGAGAGAGAACACCCCTCTGTCACAGAGAGAGAACACCCCTCTGACACAGAGAGAACACCCCTCTGTCACACAGAGAACACCCCTCTGACACAGAGAGAACACCCCTCTGACACAGAGAGAACACCCCTCTGACACAGAGAGAACACCCCTCTGACACAGAGAGAACACCCCTCTGTCACAGAGAGAACACCCCTCTGACACACAGAGAGAACACCCCTCTGTCACAGAGAGAACACCCCTCTGTCACAGAGAGAACACCCCTCTGACACAGAGAGAACACCCCTCTGACACAGAGAGAACACCCCTCTGTCACACAGAGAACACCCCTCTGACACAGAAGAACACCCTCTGTCACAGAGAGAACACCCCTCTGACACAGAGAGAACACCCCTCTGTCACAGAGAACAGAGAGAACACCCCTCTGACACAGAGAGAACACCCTCTGTCACAGAGAGAGAACACCCCTCTGACACAGAGAGAACACCCCTCTCTGTCACAGAGAGAACACCCCTCTGACACAGAGAGAACACCCCTCTGTCACACAGAGAGAACACCCCTCTGACACAGAGAGAACACCCCTCTGACACAGAGAGAGAACACCCCTCTGTCACAGAGAGAACACCCCTCTGTCACAGAGAGAACACCCCTCTGTCACAGAGAGAACACCCCTCTGACACAGAGAGAACACCCCTCTGACACAGAGAACACCCCTCTGACACAGAGAACACCCCTCTGTCACAGAGAGAACACCCCTCTGACACAGAGAGAACACCCCTCTGACACAGAGAGAACACTCAGATTCCACTGAGTCCAACACAAACTGAACCACATCAGACACAAGAAACAACTGTTTTTATCAGACACATTAGTTTATGTAAATGAGTCATGTGGATTTAATTTTTGTGTCTGTAAAAAGTAAACAAATGTGCTGAAACTGTGTAGACAGAGAAAACTCACAGACACAGAGATGACGAGTGTGGACGCAGATCGTTTTCAGTGTAACATGTCTGTGTGTACTTCAGCATGTCAAGTTGAGTATTTGACTTTTGAGGTGCAGGTGGATGACGAACCTCCACTTATGATAATAATCCCCACGACAGAACTGGAGATGAAACCTCCACCCCACAAAGTTACACAGTGGAGCTTTAAGTGAAAAAAAAAAGAATCCAAGTAAAATAAAGCTGCTACAGACAGAGCAGAGTGTGACGGTCCAGCTCCTCTCCATGTTCACACTCTTCACACTCTTCACACTCCTGACACTTTCTGTAGTGAAGCTCGTGATGTTTGTGTTTGACCCTGTGACCTCTGACCTCTGACCTGTGACCTGTGTTCTCTCTTTGTGTCCTGCTCTCGGTGCTTCACTGATACTAACGGCCTCATCAGAAGGTAATCCTCCATCATCACAGCCTTCCTGTTTTTACCCTCACCACGTCTAACACGCCTCACCTACTTTCACTTTCACTTTCACTCCAACAACTGCAGACACTTTATAAAAATCTTCTACTGTAACAGACTCATTAACATCTAACGACTGCAATTAACTAACTCCATAATATAGTTTAGTCCTGGTTTATTCTAATTACTACTAAAGTGTTTTTGTAAATATTATTCCTTAAGATTGATTTTATTTTAGTTTACCCTCTAATTTATTTAGTCTAGATTTAGTCCTGATATAGTCCATGTTTCGTGCCTGGTTTAGTTCTTATTTAATCCTGGTTTAGTCCATGTTTTTTAGTCCTGGTTTAGACCTGGTTTAGTCCTGGTTTAGTCCGGATCTAATCCTGGTTTAGGCCCTGGTTTAAGCAATGGTTTAGTCCTGGTTTACACCTGGTTTAGTCTTGTTTACCCTTTAGTTTAGTCCTGGTTTAGTCCGGATCTAGTCCTGGTTTACCTTCTAGTTTAGTCTAAATTTAGTCCCTGGTTTAGTTCTTGTTTAGTCCTAATGTAGTCCTGGTTTAAACCGTGGTTTAGTCCCGGTTTAGTCCCTGGTCTAATCTTGTTTACCCTCTAGTTTAGTCTAGATTTAGTCCATGTTTAGGCTTTGGTTTAGTCCTGGTTTCAGTCCTGGTCCTGTTTCAGTCCTGGTTTAGACCTGGTTTAGACCTGGTTTAGTCCTGGTTTAGTCCTGGTTTCCTGGTTTCCTGGTTCAGTCCTGGTTTCAGTCCTGGTTTAGTCCTGGTTTAGTCCAGTCCTGGTTCAGACCTGGTTCAGACCTGGTTCAGTCCTGGTTTAGTCCTGGTTCAGTCCTGGTTCAGTCCTGGTTCAGTCCTGGTTTAGTCCAGTGAGCAGAGGGAGAGTTTTGTAAATATTATCCCTCTGTTTTTATTTTTATTTTATTTTAGTTCAGTTCAATTTTAGTTTATTAATATATAAAAATTACAAATATTTGAGTAATTAATAAAAACATGATTAGAGATCCTGCGTTAGAACACTACACATGTGTAGTCTTCAGTCTTGTTTATCTTATTTATCCGTGTTTTAGTTTTAGTTTTTAGTCTCATAAGTTTTTAGTTTTTCCCTGTAACCCTCCAGAACCGTCTCCTCAAGCTTTGAATGTTTTTGCTTTTAGTTTCTTGCTTCTGTTTTTCACATTTTTGCTCCGTCATATTTAAAGTTTTGAATGAAAAGTTTGTTAAACGTTTGTCTTTTGTCTTGTGGCAGGTAAAACGTTCCAGCTTTATTCACATAACCTCATCGGTCTGTTCGAGCAGCTCAAGAAACCAGGACTCGCCGCTCAGTTTCAGACGCACCGTTTCCCCGACAAAATCCTGCCCAGGTGAGAACTAAACCAGGACTGAACCAGGACTAAACCAGGACTAAACCAGGACTAAAACAGGACTGAACCAGGACTAAACCAGGACTAAAACCAGACTGAAACAGGACTGAACCAGGACTAAAACAGGACTAACAGGACTGAACCAGGACTAAACCAGGACTAAAACAGGACTAAACAGGACTGAACCAGGACTGAACCAGGACTAAACCAGGACTAAAACCAGGACTAAACCAGGACTAAAACAGGACTAAACCAGGACTGAACCAGGACTGAACCAGACTGAACCAGGACTAAACCAGGACTAAACCAGGACTAAAACACTAAAACAGGACTGAACAGGACTAAACAGGACTAAAACAGGACTAAAACAGGACTGAACCAGGACTGAACCAGGACTAAACCAGGACTGAACCAGGAAAACCAGGACTAAACCAGGACAAAACAGGACTAAAACCAGGACTGAACCAGGACTGAACCAGGACTAAACCAGGACTAAACCAGGACTAAACCAGGACTGAACCAGGACTGAACAGGAACCAGGACTAAACCAGGACTAAACCAGGACTAAACCAGGACTAAACCAGGACTGAAACCAGGACTGAACCAGGACTAAACCAGGACTAAACCAGGACTAAAACAGGTCTAAAACAGGACTGAACCAGGACTGAACCAGGACTAAACCAGGACTAAACCAGGACTAAAACAGGTCTAAAACAGGACTAAAACAGACTAAACCAGGACTGAACCAGGACTAAACCAGGACTGAACCAGGACTAAACCAGGACTAAACCAGGACTAAAACACTAAAACAGGACTGAACCAGGACTGAACCAGGACTAAAACCAGGACTGAAACCAGGACTAAAACCAGGACTGAACCAGGACTAAACCAGGACTAAACCAGGACTAAACCAGGACTAAACCAGGACTAAAACAGGACTAAAACAGGACT